GTGTGGTTCACCATTGCACCCCCCAGACTGAAGTTCTTTAATTGGATTGCGGGCTTGCAAAGGGCCCTTATAGTGGATCAGCTCCAAAAAAGAGGCATTCTCATCCCCAATAGAAGTGTTTTATGTCAATGCGAAAAAGAATTAAACTCACATATTTTCATTCATTGCAATATGGCCCATGACATTTGGGGTCATATATTGCAGCTTTGCGCAGTCCAATAGGTAATGCCATCAACTGTCATGGAACTCCTATCCTATTAACCTGCCACATACTGGTCCAAGGCAGGACGATCACTTTGGGAGGCAGAGGTAGCAGCCACAATTTGGAATATCTGGAAAGAAAGAAATTCCAGGAGATTCCAAGGAAATGTTACTGAAGGTCCAACCTTACTCCACAAAATTACTTCCTTAATAATTTTTTGGGCAACCAACCACCAAACCTTTCCAGGGATCACAGCGAACACTTTTTAAGTCATTGGAGAAACATCATGCGCCATTGTCCTCACAAGAGAAAGAGTTCCCACAACTGGCAATCTCCCCCACAAGGAACAATCAAACTTAACTTTGATGGTTGTTCCATGGGAAAACCTGGTCATGTCGGAGCAGGAGGAGTTTTCAGAGACCAAAATCGCACAATTTTGTTCACCTACTCTAAATACCTTGGCATTCAAGATTCTCAGCACACTGAAGCTATGGCCATTCTTTTGGGCATCAAGGGCTTCAACCGATCATGGGGGCAAAACCAAATAGTGGAGGGAGACGCTACAAATATAATATCATGGGCAAGAGGGACTTCCTCTACTCCATGGTATCCTTCTTTCATCTTTGACGAGATCGCTGATATTTGCAGGGATATAAACGTCTCATGGACGCATACCTTGAGGACGTCAAACGAGCTAACCGATCTCCTGGCAAAGGATGGGGCCAGGGCTCTGAGTGAAGCCTCTATCTTCGATCCGGACCACAAAGGGACCACGATGTAATACTGTGTGGCTTGGTTTTTTGCTTGCTTAAGATCACAGACTGCTGGTGTAAAGGGGCAATACTATAAGCCCATTTTTTGTAATCTCATTTTATATTTTGTATAACATTGAACAAATGCATACAATCATTTTGTATAGGGTCGGTAGACCTAATTTTTACGGAGAGTCCTAGCATGGAGGGATTCTTGGTTCAAACAATCCATGTAAAATATTTATAGCGATACAGTTAACTTTATCAAAATAAATAAATAAATAAATAAATAAAAACCCTAGAAATCTTAAAAATCCTAGAAATAAACGCTAAAACTAGAACTACAATATACATCATTGAAATTGAATAACAATACAAAATAAGAAGACTTTTGCCCACCATCATTCTTCCCTTGTTGGAGAAAACTTGTCCTTGAGTTTTGAAGTGTGTTAAGATGAATTCAACATCAAAACCACCTTCTTTGACTGTCTTTTTCTTTGTCGGCTCAAATATTATTCGAGGTAAAAAAAAATTCCTCAAGAATTATGTCCTGATATGGATTATGAGGAATCCATGCAAATTTATCAAATTCAGTTATTTGTGAACTCCCATTGGAAATCATGTCCTTTGGAGGTTTTCTCAACATCTAGTTGATCACTTTCTAAAATCAGGGTCACAATTTGCAGAGTCTGAGTCTACCACACTTCCACTGCGCTACTCTGATTTCAGTGCCCTAAATCTCCTAAATGTTCCAGATCTTCATCTTTTTCTTCGTCAATGATCGGTTCACCCACGAAATCTTGATCACCGTCAGAGATTAGATCTCTTTTAAAATCATGTTCATCATCTAAGTATGTATCGAAAATTGGTGGCAGATCCCAATCGACAACCTTTTGACTTTCAATATGACCTACACCAAGATCAACCTCTTCTCCTTCAAATCATGTAGATCAACTAAATCCCATGATTTGTTCTCTCGAGCATGAGGCTCCCAAGCGGAGCACATGCATAGAACAGGTGGTTGAAGGTAGCTTCATCATTCCGCTCCAACTCTAAGTCGGACTCTGATTCATGCCATTCTCCATAAAAACCTCACGATTTGGATCTATCCATGTAGATTCCTCTTCGTTTAGGGCACTTTGTTGCTAGCACCATTTGAGCCACAATAGCTTTGTAACCTTCTTCGTCAAGTTGTTGATTTCCTTGCACAGTCGGTTCAGATCGACATCCCTACGACTAAGACCTCCACGACAAGCCCTCGCAATCTCCAACAGTCCTCGAACCATGCTCTGATACCACTTGATGTAGGAAAACTTGAACAAACCAAGAAAAATCAGTAAGAAGCACACAATTTTGGAGATTCCATAGGGTTTACTCCCACTTAGGGATCAATCCTTAGGCTTCTTTTACGATATGAAGTACTTCTTTTCTTAAGAAGAATATATGAATGACACTCCAGCCCATCCATGCTCTTGTTTATATTGAAAAATTATTGTTTTGGACAATATTTGTCCTTACAATTTAACTTTTGACCAAAAGGTCCTAACTTAAATATAACTTGAAATTAAACTCCCTAACTTTAATTAAAAGAACTCAAAAGTCCCTAACTGGTCCAATAATAAATAAATAAATAAAAACGTCTGAAATAGCCTTAAAAACTACAAAAAAACACCAAAACTATTTCGTGCTCTTCTTGTTCTTCTTAGAAACCCTCCTAGGGTTTTCATCCTCCAAATATGAGAAAAAATTAGGAGGAATCTGTCGCTACTATAGAAAATACTCGTGGCTACTTGTGTTCTGATCTCCATCATGGTTGAGGATGTGGGCAGCGCAATGTTGTCCATTTTATCACAAACAGCGCAATCAACTATGCACATGGAGGGAAATTGTCAACTATGCACTGAAGGGAATTGGTCAAGGTGACAGGATGCCATAAATGACCCTTAGAATCCGTTCCTACCGAGGTTCCATGTTAGCATTCAAAAGCAAAAAAAAAAAGAAAAACAAAAAAAGAAAGGGAAAGGATTAGCCCCCCACCCCCTGTCCCCACTCTAACAAAAAAAAATTTATTGGATGTTGTGTGGCGCATGGCATTGAAACGAGGTTTGAGGACATTGGGAAAATGAAAAATGTTTTGGAAGATGTAGATAAGGTAAGAACAATATAAAATTGATCTACAACCACTTTTTGTTCTCAATTTGATGCGGAAGTAGACTGGTAGAAGTGAGTATCAAACAGCCCCCAAGCCGGTGCTCTTTATAAAAATTGTCAGGTGCAAGCAAAAATTGCTTATTAAAAAATGAGTACATGGCAGCCGATGCATCAGGTGCTAAAAACTCGTGCGCCTAATGGCAAGGCGAGGAAGATGACAAAAAAGAAAAACAACAGATGAATAGTGCTCGAGTGTCTAGCTAAGAGAGCTAAGCTTAAAGTGTACAAGAGGAATCACAGAAGTGCAAAACAGTTATTGGATCTGTCCTTTTGTCTTTTATTTATTATTTGAGTCATTTTGTTTACTTAGGGGCATAAGTAGTAATTTCTAGAGTTTTTAATGCCTTTTTATTCTCTTAAAGTCTTTTATAATGAATGACCATGATTAGATTAGACGGATGGCCAGGATTAAATCTTGTTTAGGTTTGTTATATAAAGGATATGCTCAAGCATAATGGATGATTATGCTATGAATATTATTCAAAATCCTAGAGCAGCAAGTGCTCGTTTTACCTCTGACTGCTTAATCTTTCTCTATTTCTGGATCTTCTCTGTTTCCTTCTTTGCTAAAACCCAGCTCAAGCTACTCGGTTTGTGCCATCTCTCTTTATTTGGGCACCAACATGTGGGTTGATCAAGATCCCTAATTGCAGGTATAGAAATCCCTAACAATGGGAATCAAGATCCCAAAATTTAAAAATCGATATCCTTGAGAGATCCATTCTGGGAACTATGAAATCAAGATCCTAGACGGGATTGCCTACCAAAGTACATGATCCTTGTAACTAACATCCAACCTCATGTCAATAATCTTTTAAGAACTTCTCATATTGGGGCCCTATTCCTTTGAATGTCCAGTGATGGTACCCTTTTCCCTCTCCATCGTCACATACATTCCCAATGGCTGGCCATGTATCACTTTCCTTTATCGTCAAGAACTTTATCAAAGGTTCAATATTTTTATTAACACTGGCAAATCTTGTTATTGTAGGGCGTATTAACTCCCTACTATCAATAGTTTCAAAACCTGTCGTATAGGTAACCTTTTGAAGGCCATGTTTTTTACTTTGCTAGATTGCTTTATGGGTTGTGAAACCATTATGATGTGGGGTTTGTATGGACTATAGATGTGGGAGTCACTTTAGTTGTGTAATGCCCTTCAAATTTAATGCTTCTTAATGATTTTATGCATTATGTAATATTCTAATTTGTATACTTGTCCTTTTCTTTGGCTTCTTTCTTTTAGTGATGGTTATATATATATATATATATTATCTTTTGGATTTTTTATAGTTTTCAATATTTTTTATTTACTTTCATTTTTTTCATTTTATTCGTATTTTTTAATTATCGAATTTAATATAAAATTTGACCGGTCTGACCAGTGAATTGGTTTGTTTTGGCAAATCCAACAGACCACCACAACTCCACTGGTTCACTGGCTGGTGCAGTCCTAATAACATGGATTTCTACATGTCAGTGTTATAAAAAACTAAAAAAATAGAACTAGTTGGGAGTCTCTATGTGTGTGGGGTACACATGCGTGCATGTGGGTGAGATTATGTACGCCGAGAGTTGCCAGATTCTCCTCAAAAAAAGGTTGAATCGTCTCTTTTGTCAGATAGTGGTATGCACATGCATACTTTGGGTTATGTCCTCAAAGGGATTATTCTGCTGTTTCTGGAACCAGCAATTTTTATGTTACAATGATGTATATTTCTTTCTTTGTGGTGTTCTCTTTTCTTTCAAGAGAAGCAAGTATATGGCTGATTCTTGTTCCATTTTAGTCACCCAAGTTTTATCGGTAACTCTTTATAAATGTTTGAATGCTACAGGTACAATGTTGGTGTGAAATGTGCAACAATAACTCCTGGTTAGTGGTAATCATTCTGGACAATTATAGAATTATCATATTTTATCATAAAATATATGTTTATTTCAATTGAAAGCCTGCATTCTTTTAGTAGAAGCACACACTTGATTAGCTAATACTGTGGTTGACCCTATTTTATCAAAAAAAAAAAAGAATAACTTTATCCATTTTCCTATTGTTTTTTAAAATTGTTCTCATAACTATCCTTTTAGTTGTAGGATTCACAGATCAGTCATTTAATTTTGTCTTTTAACATTCATTTAATCTTGTGGAAATCATACTTCAAATCCCAGCAATGGTCCAAATTAATGGAGACTTACACAATGATAGTGCCAAGCAAGTGGGGGCATAGCATGCAGGCCCTATCTGGTTTTTCAAGACCTGCTCTGGTCAACCTCAACCAGTATAAAAGTTGGGTTGGGTCAGGCTAACATCAAGTTCAATCAAAATTACATTTGTGTTATGGTCTCTTTTTCTCCACATTAGTCCATGAAGAGGCCCTATAACCACATGATGGGGCTCTCATGTACTGCGAGGCCATGTGGGGCGAGGGGCATGGCCTCTTAGAAATAGTTTGAAGCAGTGTTTTAAAACGCAGAATGCGCTTGATGCATTGGGGGGGCTGATGCGGCTCGATGTGGCCTAGATGTGGGTGCATCACCCTAATGCGATCAATAAATATAAAAACAATTTGAAAAAATCTAAAAAAATAGGTTAATGCATAGGAAAAAGTATGGAGGTGATTTATGTGATAGTAGGTATTTAATTTATTCATTAACTCCAAAAGTATTAGCCGTCGGAGATTCTGTATCCACTATCCCCTGATAGATCATAGAAGACATCAAAAAGTAGAAACTAGAAATTTGAAACTAACTTCATAAAACATTCAACAATCATAATCACAAATTTGCAACTACAAACTTTATAGTTACAAAATACAAACTAAAAAGTATACGAAGATTGAACTTCAATTTCTTCTTGGCCCCCCTTGATTTGTTGTCAAAACTTTGCTAAAACTTCGTCAAATCAACACCCAAAATAAACAAGTCAACAACCAAAGATCATCCAAGACGAATATCCAAGAATTTCGAAAACTAAATTTCTGCCACTTTTTTTTTTATTGATTTGATGTCCTAAAGGCCACAGATGTTGCTGATTTTGGTGGTTTGGGGGGTTTAATACCCCTCCAAACCCTTTCGTCCCCTTTTTGGGGCCTATGAAGACTAAAATACCCCTTTTCGAGGGGGTATTTTTCATTTCCCATGCCGGCTGCATATGCGCCCTATGCGGGGCTATGTGCTATGCGGTGGCATGCGATACATATATGGGCACATCCCACCAAAGCGTATAGATGTTATGCAATGCGGCTACCAGTGCATCCTGCATGTTGCGGCCGCGTTTTAAAACACTGGTTTGAAGGTAAAATAAGGTATTTTTGGCCCCAACTGCAACTACAGCCACAGCCAAGGCACGGCTGGTCGGCTGGCCGGCCTTCCTTGTGCATACATCTGTTAAGCACACACAAATTGAGAGCACTTGAGAGCCCATGTCTCTCTCTCTTGTTTCCTAAACATCACATAAGATCTGTAAGTTTTCTTCCATAACTCAGTCAAGTCAACAGGGTCAGGTTATGAGTTAACCCAATTGGGGGTCTTGTGAAGTTGGTTGTTTCTGGGTCAGTTAAAGTGGGGAGGTTGTCCACAAACTAGTGGACCTCCACTTTTTCTCTAGCAAGGGAATTTGCTTTTCTATATTATTTTTGTGGTAAACCTGTGTGATAACAGTAAGTTATCATTGGTCTCCAGAAATTTTGTATCAAACCTCAAAATCCTATCATAAGAGTTTCTCTTGCTCCCATGGAGTGGATACCATTCTAACTTCCCCTGGAACAGCCAAATCGTACCGAGATCCCTTGAGCCACAGATTCGAAACTATCCATAACTCTCAGGTGCACCATTCCTTTTGGATTTTGCTTCTTCAGATCATCCTGTCTTTATGGTTCATTTGCAAACCATCATGAGCCCTTTTACTCGAATCATTCTGTGAACCCAGAATGTACAAGGATTTGTTTAGATTTGCTGAGAAAAGGTCATGAAGTGCTGGAAGCTTTGCATTGGAATAGATCTTGGAACCTGCTTTCCCTTCTAAAGGGAATTAAAGCAATTGATTGCCAATGCGTTTGGAACTGCTCAAATCAGATGATTGTTAGAATGACACGAGCCAAGTTTAGTGGCTCTTTTGGATATTATCAAAGAATGAGTTAGGTGAGGGTCTCGACAGGGTGAATTTCCTGAGACCATCCCCAAGGATGGAAGTGAAAGATGTTTCATTGTGTCTTTGTGTATCATCTTTAGAAGGCTTTTTTTGTATTGGAGGCGGCCCCCTGGGCATGGTTTAAGAGGTTGAGAGACAATGGCTAGGATTTGTTTTGATAGGGTGATAATGATCTCTCCATGTTTATTTCATTCGCTTATGCCTGTATTGTGGCACTGCTATGGTATCTGCATGATAGTTTGATCACGCTTGATGATCCCAGTGTTCTTATCTGGAATGATTACCAAACTTTGAGTTAGACTTTACGGTTCCAGTGGCATAACTCTTGAAATGGAAACTAAACTTTTGAGTTAGTCTATATTAGTTGTTATTCAGTTATAAAGATTACTTGGACTGGGGGAGAGTTTATGCACTGCTGGACAATAACATGTTAAGTCAAATGCTTACTAGGTAGATCATATATACTTTCCTATGATCATATCCAATGTTGTTCATGCTGTTGGCCAGTACATGAGCAATCTCTTGATGGATATTTGTCAATAGTACATCGTATTATACTATTTCTAGGTCATCTACCGAAGTGGAGAATTGTGTATTGTCTCCACATGTATTATAAATATTTAGTCACATGTCTTACTCAGTGAGCTTCTTTTGACCATCAAATCTCCTTACTCCCTTTACGGAGATAAAGCTGGTTCCATGTAGGTTGCTATTAATCTGGTATTCCATGACAAAAAGCACATCGAAATTGACTAGCGGGCTATGAGTTTTAGAATAGGTTTTTTGTTTTTATTTTTTTATGTGTCGCATAAACACCAACTTTTAAGTGTCTGGCATTCTCATTGAAGGGATGGCCTTGGAAAAACACGACTTTCTTGTTAGAAAATTGTCACTGGTAGAGATCCCAAAATGTCTCTTAGTCAGATTGATATATTTCTTGATACATACATATTGTCTTGATATATTAAGTGCATAAGGATATAACAGCCATAGTATCATATAATTACCGTGGGTTTACATGCAGTTCTTAAGTTATTCCCTAGTTAGGCCCTTTATCTTCCCCACAGTTACACTATTAGTTCCCAAGTCTCAGGTTATGAGCAATTTTTGCTGGATTTCCTAGTAAATATCTGCTCCTTGGGATCCAGTTACAAAACTTTTGCTGTTTTCTTTATTGTTATTATTATTATTTTTGGTTCGATTTCTTGCATTCTATCTTGGCTTAAAAGTCTTGATTATAGAAATTTCTCTATGAGCAGATATTGTGTAGTGGGTTGCCTATAAGGATTTTCTGATCCCACAGAACTTGTAATTTTGAGCAATTTGTCACTGTTGTTATCATCGGAGAACTATCTTGTTTGTGTTGATGAATCTCATCTAATGCATATTATTCATGGTGTCTGGATTTTAATAGGCTTTTTTTTCATGTTCATGCATGCAGATGAATCTAGGGTTAAGGAATTTGGCCTGAAGTCAATGTGGAAGAGCCCCAATGGTACAATAAGGAACATACTGAATGGTTGGTATTTACCCTCTCATTAGGCTTGGGGCTTTTAACAGCAATTTGCTTGGTACCTGGCTGTAAAATACTTATGATTACATGGGGTCTTACCTCGTTAGTCATTTTTCACGTGCTACTATACCATTTTGGTGACTATGGCATCTTGATTGGTCACTTTTTTATTTTAAATCATAATGCAAGTGGATGTACGTACCCTTAACACGTTGTAATTTTTATTGTAACTCAAAAAAGAAAAAAAAAAGAAATGGAATGAATACTTAAAGTATCTGGATCTGTTACAAATTTGAAATCTAGTTTTTTTTTTTGGGAGCTATTAACGGTTACAAATTTAAACTCTAGTTGTTGCCGTCAACTTGACAGTTAGGCATGCATCTATTGGTTAGGGGGCGTGATGCTTTAACATATTGTTCCACCATCCATTCTCACTGTGAACATATCATCACCATCATCCAAGCCTTATCCCAATTATTTGGGGTAGGCTCTTTAGCATTCATGATAAGATGTGGCAAAGTTTTATGCTGACTGCTACCTAATGCAACCTACCTCCTTGACCTAGGTTTGGGACAGGTTAATACAAAGATTAAGGTCCTCACCCTTATTAGACCATCACACAATGAACATATAAAAAAAAAAGAAAAAAATGCTGGTACTATCATGTCCAATAAAATGCTGGTACTATCATGTACTATCATGTCCAATAAAATGCTCTCTCTGGTTTGACATCCAATCTGATTTGAATAATATTAATTCAACCAGAGGAGATGTAAACAACCTCAACTTGCTCGTTTTTCATTTTGTAACTATGGGCTTTGTGGAGAATGGGGTGCTTATTTTGACGTTTTTAATAATAGTGATCTGGTTGAGCTTGCCTTTCCTTTTGAAGGATAATGAGACTTCTGTAGTTTTAATGATATACATGTAATATGAAAAGCTTTTCTTTTAAACCTGTAGGTTATATGGTTATTTTTTTCTTTTCTACCCACCCATAAAATATGATAGGCATGATCATTGTTTGAGCAAAATTGATGAATGAATGTTAATTTTAGTTCATAGGGAGCATTCAAAATTGGATTCAATAGGCGATAAGATGAGGGAAAGTAGACTTAGGTGTGCTGGCCATGTGTAGCTAGACCTAATATAGCACCAATTAGGAGGGGCGACTTGGTTCAAGTGGAAGGCTCCAAAAGGGCAGAGGGATGGCCCAAAAGGACATAGATGGAAGTAGTGAGAAAATATATAGGGACTTATGGTCTTAACGAGGGTATGACCCTTGATAGAGTAGAATGGCAGAATAAGATTCGTTTAGCGATCCAAATAGTTGGGATAAGGCTCTGATGGTGATGATGGAGCATTTAAAGGTACTCTATTTTGAATCCACCAGTATAAACGAAACGTGTTGCTTCAAATACTTTACTGAATCTTAATCATCTATTGACATGTCCAAACTGAACTGTGGAGTCAAACTGAACATGTATGAATGCATTCATGCATGCAAATGCTTGTCTATTTGTATTTGTGTTTGTGCGCACACATGCATGTGTATGTACTGCTATTTATGTGTTATATATGGGTATGAGTGCATATTGGTGCATTTATAGCTTGCCCACCGGTGCATTTACGGACTTTTAAAATTTACACGAAATAATGAAGCTTACCATAAACTACTCTCAGCTTCTTATGATATTCATGAAACATGGGCTCTATATTGTGATCAATGTTCAAAAAGGCATAGGCACTATTAATTAAGATGGAAGCTATAATATGATTATTATTTATTAATTAATATCCATAAGATTTGGTTTTTGGATATCAAATATTCACAAAATAACAATTTCATCCAATGTTTATGACTATTCACAAAATATAAGTCCAAATCGGTAAATGTTCCATCTACAAATATGTAAAAATATCGAAAAAGTAATGCCAAACTAATAGGATATCAAATCATCACACATTATACAAAATAAGAACTAATTATTCATAAAAGAATTCGATATAGGACCAATTTCATTGTCCAAGCGAGTTAATAATCAGTTGAGCACAAAAAAGAAAAAAATCAATCTTTCAACTACAAACATGTAAATATATCATAAGAGGAAAAAAAAGTTAAAAAAGAAAAATCAAACAATTCAAAACATAATACGTTATAGCAAAAAAACTCAAAACCCTTATTTAAATATCATAATGGTGTAAACCTCGTCTATTCGATCGCCAAAAGTCCTCACTATTGACCACTAGAAGTTCCGAAAACTACTACGAAGCATTGTTTTTTATTTCGGAAGAAATTAAAAAATTTATCGCTCATTCCATAAATCACAAAATAAAGGTTTTTGGGGAGATTTTTTCTCTTTAGATTGCATGGATTTGGTTTTGGGGTTATAGAATGTCCCCCCAAAACCCCTTTCCCCCCTAAAAAGGTGGGGGAGGGGGGAATTTCTTTTTTGACAGTAGCCGAGGGCATTTTTCCTCCCTCCACAACTTGCATTGAGGCGGTACCTAGGCGGACATCTTGACTGTAGCGCTTAGGTGGTGCCTTGCCTACCTAGGTTGGTACCTAGACGCAAGCCGCCTAGGTGCCCCTCCTAGGTGTTTTAGGCGATAGGCCGTCTAGACACTTGGGCGGTTGAATTTTTGAATATTGATTGTTACGTAGCAACCCAAGTTTTATATCTAATCTCACTATAACTAGGTTGACTCTAACAAATTCTGATATGTGACCAAACCGGTTTGAGTGTTTACTATGTAGAGGGGTATTTCTTGCTTGACACACTTGAAATCCTCTCAATTGAAGTACTACTTAGTGTACCGTTGAGATTTAACTAAGAAGCTATGGCGCAATGCCCTAGAAAATCTGTTCTTTGATAATGTCTTGGTTTACATCTCGTGCCTTGGAACTCTCTTTTTTATTGTGTAGTTAGATGGTAGACAAGGTGTATAGTTCGTGGTAAAAACTTCTCTCGATTTAGATTTCTATGCCGGTTCGCTCTCAGTGTGTTTTATGGCTTGAGGGAAAAAAACACCATCTCTAATGGTGGTTATATCAAAATTCTCTGAAAAAATCTACGTTTATGTTTGTTTAAGTGAGTCGGTCAATTTTTACTATCCTTACAATGTTAAGAAAAGCATAGGTGCACACCAAGGCGGTTTGGGGGCCTAGCTGCCTAGGCGAGCTCCCTAGAACAAGGATGGGTAGGGACAGCCCCTGGCTCCCTCCCCTCCCCCCCCCCTCCAAAAAAAAAAACAAAAGAAGAAAAAAAAGAAGCAAAAAGGAATAAGGAGTTCTTAGGACACGGGTTTCAACCTTAGACAATTTTTAAGGTAATTTTAGAGCCCCAAACCTATTGAGATAAAGGCAAAAAAAACAAGTATTACAAATATAGTGAGTGGTTTAAGAAGGGTGAGGACTTTAAACGTTCCTTTATCCCATCCCAAGCCTAGGTAAAGGAGATGGATTGTGTTAGGTAGGCAGCCAATGTAAAACTTTGCCAAAAGTTTTTATGAAACCTAAATCTATGTAAGACACATCAAATTGCATGAATTCCCAAATATCATTGTAGAAACTTAGAAATAATACTCAAAATCACAAAGGGTTACTTGGCCATGGATCAAAAGTAAAAAAAGACAAAAGACAACAAATTTATGTCACCATCTCGAAACTCAAATTTCCACCACTCAACTCTATGGCATCACCACTTGGGGTTTTCAAGTGTAGCCAAGTATTTGATCATGATGATGCCATGCTATCATCATCAGGGTCATCTCGCCCTCCTCAACATATTGAGTGTCATCCCTCATCTCTCCTGAATCTACTTCTTCATCTTCCTCTCTTGATCCCATCGTCCTCCTCCTCTTTTTCTCCGTTGCCTTCCCCTTCCTTTGGCATTGAGATGGAGCCTAAGTGGTCCTCATAGTACTCATTGCTATCCCAACAGCCTCATAAACTAGGCCCCAAGTCAAGGTCTCTTCAGGGAATACGTCATCGTCCTCGGCATCAACTACCCACTCACATGTGTCATCCATATTAGCAGGTTCAATCGCCTCCTTTTCATTGTGGTGCAGTTGTCAATGACAGTCTTGCAATTTCTGATTATACTGAACGAAGACTAAGTCATTCAGTCGCTTTTGCTTTAGTCTATTCCTCTTCTTTGTATGCACGTAATAGGAAAAAACTAATTGAACAACAAAAATTTATAGAAACATAAATGCATGAACAATAAAAATTTACAAAAACATATATACATAATTAATTAATTTAATATGGTAATAAACTAAGTAAAGAAACAAACAACAATTACTATATAAGTAATGAAGTATTAACTGTTAAATAATATTACCATTTCATAGGTGTTGAAGTTGTTCTCACATCCAAATGAGCTGCAAGTCAGATTTAGTATAGAGACAACCATTTGCCAGAAATTAGGGGTGCTTCCCCATGGCCCATCCACCATGCAGCTATTTCACATAAATGTGAATGTAGAAAATTAGGTATCTGTGTTATTGGAATTCATTACTCAAATCATAAAATCAAAATAAGGAAGTTCTAAACTCACTAGGAGAGGATCTTAGTCTTCTGCCTGATTCCACCTTCTTACCAAGTGACCCAATAAAGACCCTATACATCTCTAATAACATCATTACCTTGTCCTGCACTTCGGGATTGGGCTTGAGCTTGATATTGCATTTGGTTGAATGCATCCATAAATTCAAACTTGCTATGTACCTCATGATCAGTGTAAAAGTGAGCAGGGTTAAGCTAGTACCCTGCTAAAGTGTAGGGGCCTCTCATGCCGGTAGTTTCTATTTATGGTGAAGGGAAAAGACCTTCATATGGTCTTTATTGATCTACAAAAAGCTTATGATAAAGTACCTCAAGATTTAATTTGGTAGGTGTTGGAAAAGAAAGGAGTCTCCAGATACTATATCAACTTGGTGAGAGATATGTATGAGGGAGCGTCACCTAGAATGTGAACAACTAGTGGAGTGACGAGTGAGTTTTC